TTTTTGTGGCTGGATAGCTCCTTTGTGACCATGGCTAAGAGTAGACCATAAGAATGGATGTGCCTCAATCTACAATTTTGAGTCCATAATTACAGGATAATGAGTAAATCATGCTTCACCCTGACAATTACAGAGAGACCATGGACTTATGAGCAAAGAGTGACCAAGTGAGGCAACATCCATCTATCTCAGGCTGCCTAACTTGATGGCCTTTCTGGAGCAAGGGGAGAAAGAGGTTTGTCAAAGTGGAAAAGGTGCAGCAGAAAGGAAGCAGTATTGTAATAACAATAGCCAACATTTATACAGTGCTTTAAGATTTGCACAATGCTCTACAAACATTATCTTATTTGATTCTAACAACAACTCTGAGAAGTAGGGGCTGTTATTATCTTCATTTCATGGATAAGGAACCTGAGGCAGACAAGTTAACCTGTTCAGCTAGTAAGTATGTGAGGTGGGATTTGAACTCAGGTCTTCCTGATTCCAAGTTCAGTGCATTAGCCACTGTGTCACCTAGCTGCTACAGTGGGGGAAAAAAAGCACTGAAAGTAGAGTAAGAAGATAGTTCAAATAGTATCGTGGACAACATTCGTGCATCAACAGGGAAGTCACTTAACTATTCCAGGCCTCAATTTCCTGTCTGGAAAACAAAAGAAACAAAAGAAAACAAAAACTAACAAAACAAAAACAATGAAGGGGTTGGACCACATGACATCTGAGGTCCATAGGCTTGAGAAATGGAATGAGAAGCAGCAATTACGTCAATATAGCCAGAATGTAGAGTGTATATGAGGGAGTCATGTGATACAAGCCTGGAGGGAACTAAGTTGAAATACCAGATGGGGGAACTTTCTTCGATCCAAGAAGTAACAGGAAGGCAGGGAAGATTCTTAAGCATGAAAGTGACATGGTCAGTCCCATTCTTTATGAATATTATTTGGACAGTTGTATCAAAGCGAGCAGTGGAAGGGGGCTCTCCTCTCCCTCTTCCATAAGAGGGAAGAAAATTAATTTGATTAGGCTTTGCCTTCAGGGGGATCAAAATTGACTTTCAAAGAAGTTGTTTAATAGAGAAATTAGACTAATCAAATGGTCAAGACCCTGGTCAAGACCCAGAGAAACATAGGCCAGGAAGGGGTCTTTCATTTTTACCAACTACAAGCCCAACACATCAGGTTTGCATTCTTTCATCTCTGCTGATCTGTTGAGTATCATAATCATGTACCAAAATGTGGTCAATGAGATGATACATAAAATGAGGATAATTAATAGTATCTACCTCATATGGTTGTTATGAGGGTCCAATAAGATAATGTGGATAAAGTACTTTGCAAAGTATAAAATGCTACATAAATGTGAGCTATTGTTGTGATGATGATGATGATGATGATGATGATGATGGTGATGATGAAGGGGCTTGTACAGATACAGGTTAGATTAGATAATCTGTGAGGTCCCTTTTAGTTTTGAGATTATGGGATTCTGAGCCACATCTCTGTCCAGTGCTATTCTCTACTCATTAGAGTCTACTATACACACTTAGAGAGGTTATATTCCATTAAAAAAACAACTGAAAACAACAAAAATATTTCATGAGGTCAGGTCAACAATCCACCCAACCTATTAATTTCTTTTTGAGAGTGGTACTAAGGACAATTGGGAGGAGAGAAGCCCCGGTAGCTTCTTTCCATGCTGTCATTCTCAGGTGTTAAGGATATACCCTGAATATCCTTCATTTCTCCTCAATTTTCCTTCACTGATTATCTGTGATCTGATTGCCTATGGACAATGAGCCTGAAGTAACAACTCTATCATAGCCGTAAGTATCCTTACATGTTTTTGTTTAATCTGTGCTTTCACTCACTCTTCTTACCACTCTTGGCTGAAGGGAAAATTATTATTCAGGGGAAAAAGACATATTATTCACATCACCAGATTCTTTTCCATTGTTATCTTTTCCATGCCATAGGAAAGATAGTGAAAAGAAAAAAACCCAAATGAATTCTATGCCTCACTTTTCTTTTGTGAGGGGAAAATTAGAAAGATCACCATGATATATAATCTCCCTGTCTCAAAAGATGTATGAAGCTGAATTAAGACCAAAATCATAGTGGCATGTCAATGGATTCGTTCTAATGATGTTAACATCTGAGCAAAAACAGAGATTGGAACAAAATCTATCTATACATGTGACAAATCATTGTAAGAAGAAAAAGTAGCCTACCAAGTTATTTTATTCCTATTACAATGTGAATGTTTGAATATCCCAGTCTTTATTCCAATGGTAAAATAGTGATCTGCAATCTCTCAGAATTTTGACACTCCATTGGTTAGATTTTGCAATATAGCCTCATTACACAAAAGACACAATTATGGCAATAATCCTAATGAAGACAACTCCAAAGGACAATAGAATATAGATCAAATGCTGGTATCAATAGCCAATGTGTGTTAGAATACATTTTCTCTTCTCAGTAGAGAGGTAGTAGACTATGGGAACAGAATGTTGTATACTCCTTTTAAGTCTCAGCATCATATACTTTTGCTTAACTCTGTTTTTTTTTTAATAAAGGAGGTCACATCAAAAGAGTTATTAAAATGTGTTTATGGTATTTAAAAGCATTAATAAAACATTTTAAGGAATATCCTCAAATACTATAGGAAAATTAATGACAAAAGGTAAGGTCCCACATACACCAAAATATTTATAGCAGTACTTTTTAGAGTAGGAAAAAGCTGGACACAAAGGAGATGCATATCAACCAAGGAATGACTAAAATCTTGTGATACATGAATGTAACAGAATCTTACTTTGTCATAAGAAATGAGGGAAAGGATCAATATAGAGAAGAATTGGATGATTGTATGAGCTGATGCAAAATAAGGTAAGTAGAATGTAGAAAACAACATATACAATGACTACAAGTATGTAAACGTAAAGAACAATAAGAAAACAATTGAAACTGAAAGCAGCGAAATTATAATGACCAAACGTGTCCCCCAAAGAAATGAAGAAACACCTCCTCACCCATCCCCTACTTCTTTGTATAGGTGGGGGACAAGGGTTATGGAACGTTGCAAATAACCTCAGACTTCTCCTATAATTTAGCTTTGCCAATTTTTTTTTCTGCCTCTTATTAATTCTTTGCCGTACTTTTATGGTTCTTTGGGAGGAGAAAGGGAAACATTGGGAAATGTAGGTGATATAAAAAAAGCTAACAACAAAAATTTATTGACAAATGACAATGAATAAGCTTGGCTTCAAAGAAAAGATATAAGAAGGTACTCCCCCTGCTTCTTTGAGGAGGTTGGGCTGTGGGACACGGTGTATTAATTTACATTTTTATATTTTTATTTGGTTAGCTTTGCTGAAGTACTTCCCCCTCTTTTAAGATTCTTTGTTACAATAGGTAGCTCCTTTATTATAATAGATGGGGGGGAGAAGGGGAAAAGAGAATAAGGCAAATGAAAGTGACGTGAAAAACAAAAGGATATCAATAAAATTTAAAACAAAATACAACTTCTCCCACTCTACAAGTGCTGTATGGCAAATATTTATTTACTTTGCAAATCAAAATTATCTAAGATTCATTTAGTATTGAGACTTTCTTGACAAGTACATCACTGTTTTTGAGTTAAGTGAAGTGTCCTTGAGCTGTAGATTTGTAAAGCAGAGTTCTAAATACCACCTGGTAAAACAGAAATTCACCTTTTTGATCTAGTACGCTGATAACAGAAGCCTTAAATCCCAAACAAGGCACATACCATTACCATTCTCAAAATGCATTGACATTGTCAATCACAAAGAAGTAGTTGGAAATAGTTTTTGTTACCTTATTATGTTACCTTCTTATAGGATACTGGGGCCTGGAAGCATATTTTATCCCTGCTGTTGTGTACAGTTTAGGGCAAAAGCTGATCAGATTAGAACTTATTGTAATGATTTTCAGAAACCATTGAGACTCAAATAGATGGCTAGATTTATTTTCATTGATGAACTTGTGGACAGAGCATTAATGGATAGTTGAAAGCCACACCATTCTTAGTCACCGATCTTGATCTAGTTAACTGATGGCCGTGTCTAGAGGTGCTGCTTCTGGCCTCCTGAATGGAGTGAAGCAAAACAAGAGCAATATAACACATTTATACATAGCTGCAACCAGAGGGGGTTGACTAAAGTTTTACCCCAGGTTGCTTAAATTTAGAGGGTGTTAACACAATTTGCTATCCTACAGTAGTGTAATACCTAGTTAGTAATAATGATTAGTTAGAAATAAGACACTACCAGTTGGCTCCAGGTAAGGCCCTTCCCAGTCTGGGCACATTTTTTGTCTGTTGCTTTAGAACAGACATCACTACTTGTGGCTCTGTATTTATACAGCACTTTTAGGTTTTTGAAGTAGTATGTAAGTGGGCTCCTATTTGGAACTGCATCCCTGACTTCATGGTCACAACCACTGTGTTTTGACCAATGGCTTCCCAGCATGACATTCCAGCGTGGTCACTGACAGTGTTTTATGATGCAACACTAAGCTAGGCAGCTGGCCATCACCCAGTGGGTGCCATGTCTTTTCTCCTGCAGCATCTGAAAGAAACATTAGAGGTCCCATAGGTGGCAGTGAGACAGGTGAGACATCTTACCTGACAGGCATTGTACAGGAGCTGGTGTTCAAACTTCTTGATCCCCAGGATATTCTGAAACATCTCATAGAGCTGCTCCTTGCTTAGGATTAGCTCAGAGGCCGCACTGGCAGTCATTCTGGCTTGTTGCTTCCGGGGGTCTTCCTCTCCACGGTAAATAGCATCAAATTTAGCCATCCAGGAGCTTAACACTGTCTCCTTGCTGAGGCCATCAATCTCTGGAAGGCTACGCACCCTCTTTTCTATGTGCTTCTTGAAGACCTCCCTAGAGTCATTGGCTGAGCACCCGCCACTCTGTACCATCCGGGCCACTCGGTCACTTTTAAGGAACACCTATAGGGAAGGGAAGAGGGCAAACATTCAGTTAGGATTTCATCATGTTCTTGGAGGATTACCTGAGTCTGTTCTGAAGGAGAAAGCTCTCGGTTTGTTTCTCCATACTTTGGGCTTCAAGCCCAAATTTTCCATTTCATGCATTTCACTGCCTACCTACTGCCAAAGACTCCTCAGGTTACATATGTAACATGGGTTTGGAGTGGAAGGCAAACCAGGAGGCATCCTATGAGGAAACATCTGATACTCGTGTGTCATGGTTATACCTCTGAAGGCACAAAATATTCTTCAGGAGACAAGATCAAAGGTGAACTCCTCCAGAGAGTTTCAGCACATGCTTACTCCTACGCATGAGCATGCGAATCTGTCTTAGCTCCAGCCTATCACTGCCTTACCAGGCATTTTTCTAAGGTAAGATTTCTCAACCTCTGTTGTAGCTCATGCACCTCTGATGTCTGATGAAGCTCATAGAACCCTTCTCAGACTTTGGAGTTTGATTTTAAATCAGTTACAGAGAAGGACCATAGCATGAATCCCCAGTGGGCCATATTCAACCTGTATAGCCAAAGGTTTCATTGGAAAACCTTCAATCCTCAACACAAATGGATTCTCCATTTAACAACCACAAAACACATTCCATAGCCCAGGCCTTTTGGCAGATGCTTCTAGAACTAAGGACTGAAGGGAGTTAGAAGAATAAGGAAGAAGGAAAAATTCAGAAAGGGGATTTTCCTGTCTCTTTCCTTAGAGACCATCTCTAAGCTGAGTTTAAAACCTCCTTCAGATACTGACTAGCTGTGTGACCCTAGGCAAATTGCTTGACCTCTCCAATCCTCATTTTTGCTCATTTATAAAAATGAAAGGGTTGGACTCAATGATGTTTAAGGTCCTTCCAAGATCTAAATCTATGATCATTCCTTCCCTCTGCCACTCTTTTCTGTTATTCATCTCTCAGTAAGGTCTAAGTAATCTTGATCTTGAAGCTATGGTTTGATTGAAAATATAGGGAAGGTCTGTCTGATATTAGAACTTCTGTCAAGTCAAGTCTGCAAGCCTTTATTAAGTGCCAACTGTTTGTTAAGCTCTGTGCTAAGTATTGGGATATATAGAGTATCAGTTGGGAATAATCAACAAAGGGAAGGCACTAGGAGTAAGGGGGTTGTGGTGTTAGAAAAGATATCTTGTAGAAGGGAGGATTTTAGCCTAGACTTAAAGGAAAATAAGAAAGCTAAGAGGTGTCTATTCCTGGACCCCATGGTACAGGGATCAGGAGAAGACAGGGATAGTAAGGTGTATGAAGACTAGAAAGAGAGGCAGGGGCTGGATTCTGAAGGCCTCTAAAAGCAAAACAGAGGGTTTAATTCTAGAGGTAATAGGGAACCATTTGAGTTGATTGAATGGAGAGGTAACATGATCAGCTTTGACCTTTAAGAAGATAAATTTGACAAGTGAATACAGTATGGAATAGAGTGGGGATGAACTTGAGAAAGGGAAAGAAACCAGCAAATGACAGCAAGAAAGCAGGCATGAGGTGATGAGGGCCTGTAGTAGGATGGGGACAGTGTCAGAGGAGAGATGTGAGAGATGCTACAGAGGTAGAATCAACAGGCCTTGAGGTCTATGAGCCGTACAGTTTGAGATGTCCAATAAGCAGCTGGAGGTGCTAAATTGCAGGTCAGAGGAGAGATTAGGGATGGACAAATACAGCTGAGAATCATCTACAGAGACAACTGAATCAATGGGAGCTGATGAGATCATCAACTGAAATCATATAGAGAGGGAAGAGAGGCAGGCCCAGGAGTTCCTTAGGGAAACCCAAGGTCATCTGGTGTGAATTGGATCAAGATCAAGTGAAGGAGACTGAAAAAGACCATTGATAGACCTAGGAGGAGAATCAGAAGAGAAGAGCGTCACAGAAATGAAGAAGGAATCGAACATCAAGGAGCAGGCCATTGATAGGTTCAAAGGCTACAGAGAGGTCGAGATGGATGAGAATTGAAAAGAGGTCATTAGATTTAGCAATCAAGAGATCACTGGTGACTTTGGAGAGAGGTTTCTATCGAATAATGAAGTTGGAATGCAAACTAAAAAGAGTTAAGAAGAGAGTGAGAGGAAAAAGAAGCGGTGGCACCTATTATAGTCATCCTTCTCAATGAGTTTAGTCACAAAAGGCAAGAGAGAGATGGGATGACTGTTAGTGGTGGTTTGTTTATGGATGGGGGAGATCTGTGAAGGCACCATGGGTGGTAGATGGAATCCAAGGAGGCAGAAACAAGGAAGTCCTTTCAAAAGCACATGCACACATAAATTGTAGCCATATTAGTTTGAGACACACAGGCAACTAAATTAGTCAGGATGAGAAGATCTGCAAGCACAGAGACTAAGGTAACAAAGGACGGAGGGAAACGGGAAAGACGAAGCATCAAGAAGAGGCCAGCCAGCCAAGAGGAGAGACATGGGTTGTGGGAAATTTATTTGCTATGTCTGTCATCTGCTTTGGGTCTTTGGACTCTCAGACAGTGAGTAGTGTCTGTTCTGTCCTCACGTGGTAAGGAATACAATGGATAAGTACTAATGCATTTCTGCTCTTTTTCTAAAACAACCTTTGAAATCCATTTGTTCTGGGAAAATGATTCAGGGTCTTTGTGAATAAACCTGGAGGTTTAGACCCCAGGCAGAGGCCCCATCTTAGTCATAAATCACTTGTATTCACTGTCAATTTCCAGGCAGATCATAAATAAGGGAGGTACACACATGGATATATACATACACACATATATATATGTGTGTGTGCATGTGTGTGTGTGTGTATTTACATATATATACACACACAGAGATACACACATTACATATGCACAGACACATGCACACATGCATGCAAACACACACATATTTACCCATGTGGGAATTGTGGAGGGCAGTCAATTCAGCTCCTCCACCCTATCAATCAGTGCTGCCCTCCATCAACAGCAGTAAAATGAAGGAGAAGTATAGATTTTATTGGATAGGAAATGAGATAAAAAGGGTTGTCATTATCTTTTAAAAAGCCTGGCTGTCAGTGATCTTGTAGGAATGATGGTGAAGGGGAGAGGAGATGATGGACTGGAGATGGGCAGATGTCTTAACTATCCATAGGGGGAAAAAGAGGTCAATTCCTGGTAAAATTCTAGACTGGATTTTGAAAGGGATGGGCTTAGGAGCACTTAAAGAGGGAGGAGGTAATTATTCAAAGCTGGTATGACTTCATTAAGAACAAGTCATTCCAGACTGACTCGTTTTCTTTTTTGACAGGGTTATTAGAGGAAGAGATCAGAGAATGTTATGTAACACTAGAGCTGGATTTCAGCAAGGCACTTCATAAGGTCCCCCCCAATATCATCTTGGACAAGATGGAAAGATATGGATTCGATGATGGCACTCATAAGTGGGTTTAGAATTGGCTTACTGAATGGCCTTGATGAGCATTGATTAATAGCTGTATGTCAAACGAGATGGAGGTTTCTGGAGAAGTGCTCCATCCTTACCCCTGTTCTGTTCAACATTTTTTTGTAATGACTTGAATAAATGCATAGAGGGCATGGATATCAAATTTGCTAATGACATGGAATTGAAGGTAATAGTTTACATGCTGGATGTCATGGGGGATCTAAAATAAGATATCCAAACTTTGGAACAAGGGGGCTGAAACTAACAAGATGAAATTTAATGGGGATAAGTGTGACGTCTTGTACTGGGGTAAAAAAAATCTGCAAAACTTCAGAGCAGGCGGCTAGAAAGCATTTGTGAAAGTGAGCTAGGGTTTCTAGCAGAATGGTGCTTTCATACCTGTTATCAGTGGGATGTGGAAAGCAGAAAATTGAGTGCAAAGTGCAGTCATCTGTAAAGTGTGTTGTGAGGTCCAGAGGCTGTCAGTGAAGACTCAGTTAAGCCATGGGCTTGGACCATGGCACCCCATACTTTAATCTGTATTTGGAATGATGGATGGTATATTTGTCCTCTCCTGCATTCTGTCTTGTAGTAACAACTGATTTACATATCCTCTTATTTATAAGCCTATGCTTACTATGATTAGCTTCTATTCTCCTATACTTATGTAGGGTAAAAACAGCAACAACCACCACAACAACCACACACTTTTATTTTGTACAGCTTAGTGATTGTGTCTATGCCCAGAGAAAATCAGGAGAGAAGCCCACCCCTTCTGACGGCCCTAGGGATTGTTTCATATGATGAATATGGGCCTATTATACAATTACCAAGAAGTCGTATGACTCTGGATGGAGAGCTCCTGGAAGCCTGACCGACTGGATCTCTATCACAAGAGACATGGACTAGCTAAAACTGTCCTTGGGGTCACTTCTTTATCCTTGTGATTCAGGAAAGGGGGGCTCCCTCATTCCTGACCTTTGGCTATAAAACGTATGGGACTTCCCTCCCTCCCATTGGACAAGCCTGCTGTATTCCCTGGAGTCAAGGAGCCTGGAATTTGGGGCATGGCCACGTAATTGATGGCACTTAAATAGTCTCCCCTCTTTACTAGCCCTGGTAAATGTCTTGACCTGTGTGGATGTGCCAACTAGCTCATTTCCTTGAAGCTTGAGAGAACCTGGTCTCATGGACTAGGCAGAGTTATGAGTATAGTCTCACTGGTCAGAACACATCTGGAGTCCTGGGGCCAGTTGAGGGCACCACTTTTATAAGCAACATTGAGAACTGATGCATATCCAGAGAAGGATGATCAAACTAATGAGAAGACCAGAAATAAGGCCATTGACTGTGTTGATTAAAAAAAAAACCACAAGGATCTTTAGCCTGGAGATTACTTGGCATCTGCATGGGGGCTGATAGTGGGGGGCATGGCAGAGATGGAAAAGTAGAAATGTAAATATTACAAAGCACTTTTCATACAACTCTATGAGATAGGTAATGCAAGAAATATCTCTATTTTTTTTTAAACCACATTCATGAAGGATCAATGATTTGTTCAGAATAGGAAAGTCCTAACATGAGGACAGACACACAGAAGTCCTAGAGCACAGAGATGAGACTTACCTGGAATCCCACAGCAAGTCAATGTCAGGGTTGGTATTTAAAACCCAGCTTTGCCTAACTCCAAGCCAACCATCCCATCTTGAGTGCCAAGTTTTCTCTACCTGCTTTTACAGGTAAGAAAACTCCATGAAATGTTGAGAGGCTTGCCCAAGTCCCCCAGCTAGAAAATGGAGTTGCTATATGAATTCAGGCTTCCTGACTTCAAACTATAACTACCACATGTCACACTTCTCACTACCCCACACCGCAATCAAACCTATTTTATCAATCACTGTATGCCCAGCACTGTACTAAGTAGTAGAGAAAGAGAGGAAAAAGTAAAAGTAGTTCCTACTCTCAGGGAGCTTACATTTTCATGG